AAAAAAAAAAATCAAAGCAGTCTTACACGAACGTCAAAAGAATTGTCAAGAATTACAAAGCAAGTGGAAAGGCCGTGAGGTTGGAGATTTAGCTCAGCGGTAGAGCATGTGCTTAGCAAGCCTAAGACTCTAGTTTCAAACCCCTCAATACTGGGGGGAAAAACAATATTAGAAAGCAGAAAATCCAGCTTAGAAGTCAAGAGCCAAAAACTCAAGACCAGCCCGTCATGACTGTGGAATAAGAGGAAGAGAGGCTGGGATATGGCTTAGTTGTTAGAGTGCTGGCCCAGCGTGCTGGCTCCTGAGCACAGCATGATACCAAAGGTGGTGGCATGTGTGTAATCCTCACAACTGGAAGGTGCAGGCAAGACAACCAGAAGTTTAAGGTCCTCCTTAAACCTGGGATACATGAGAATCTTCCTCAAAAAATGGGAGAGGTAGAGAGGGAGAAAAGGAACAGACACACACACACACACACACAGTGTGTAAGAGAGAAACATTCCAAATGACCAATAAATGTTAGCAATTCTCACCTCCCCTTAGTAATCAAGAAAAATCATTAAAATCTTACTGAGGACTAATCAGCTCTCTCTTTATACATCTTGGATTGGTACCCATGGGACCAGAGCAGAGTGACACACAGAGAGGAGAGTTTCCTTGCTGGTTTATTGAAGGTTTTATTGATAGGACATGTCACTTGGCTGTCAACATTGTCTCTGTCACAAAAAGAGATGGATGTGGCAGGAGAAGAAGTGCTTGGAGTCCTGTAGTAATGCTCTAAAAGCAGCAGAAATAAGACCCCTTAGACTTCTGGGTACCAGCTGCCAGCCAGGCCAGTGGAGGTAGAGCCTAGCAGTGGAGGAGACCTGGGGTGGCAATGGGATGTTCAGGCACCAGCCTGCACCCAACCTGAATAGTCAGAGGAAAGAGATGGCCATGGCCCAGAAGGATTGTGGGTAGGAGAAGGAGCCCCTCAGAAGTGGAAAAAAAGGCACAGAGGGCTGTGAGGGTGTAAGAAAGCCCCTGGGCTGAGGCAGAGCTGGCAAAGTGAAGGGCCACTTCCGTGTTGGGGTTGCCCTGGGTGGGCTCGAACCACTTCTGCAGACACCGTCCACTATTCCTGCGCTCAGGACTGGCCCTGAATGTGCTGCTCCATATCTTCTCACACAGGTCAGTGGGGGTGGGGAAGTAATCTGGGAAAGGGCGGCAGGGTGCCTGTTCTGGGCAGCGGTTCTTCCCTGTGGGGATTGAGGATGGCTTGTAACTTCCCATTGTCCGTTCCCTTCTGAGTCCCCATCATCATGGGGGATATAGGGAGGTTTTCATCCTCGCCCAGGTTGAGGACCCCCAAGGACCCAGTCGGTCCACTCACCCCGACTCCAGTCCCAACCGTCGAGCCAGTTGGATTTACAAGTGTAAGATGACTGACAGTCTTTCCACCATTCTTCACAATCCTCCCAGCAGAGTGGCGCACCCCAAACCCGCTCTTCCTGACTGTTCGGGGCCACCTGGGTACAGGGAGAGAAAGAGGGGCAGAGGCCGAATCCTTTACAAAGTCTGTAAGCATTATTTCTTTTCTGCGTGTGCACATTCTGTAAGTGCAAGTGAATGTGTATGTGTGCCTATGGGGGCTGGGGGGGGGTAGAGGGTGACCTCAAGTGTTGTTCTTCAGGCACTGGTTTAGAGACAGACTCGCCAGCCTACAGCTCACCAGGCAGGCGAGGCTGGCTGGCTAGCAAGCTCCGGCGACCCGCCTGTCTCTGCCTCTGCAGTGCTGGGGTTACACCTGCACACCTCCTCACCTGAACTCAGGTCCTCATGCTTGTGTGATAAGCACTTTACTGACTGAGGCATCTGTCAGTCCTAGGCAGCTCATCACCACCACCACCACCACCACCACCATCACCACCACTGTCAATGGATACATGAGAACCAAGAGGCAGGGTGGCTATTGGGCCCAGACTATACAGTTAGGTAAGAACAGGAAATGGCACTCACACTCAGACTCATCTCATTTCACCCAGCCTCATCCTACTGCCCCCATCAGACAGTGTCCCCATGCTGTTCTTCAGGGACAGAGGCGGCTCCCTCCAGCCCCTTCCCTCGCAGAGGCCTCTTATCTTTAGAGGGACGGCCTCTCCTGTTCCTACTCGCCTCTTGGAGAAGCCAGCCTAGGACTGAATGGAAGGTGGTACATGGGTCTGCCTCCTGTCTCCTCACCGGTTGGATCCAAGGCCCCAGGTTCGGGGAACACTCGTGGAAGCAGATGGCCCGGATGAAGTGCTTATGACAGACGGGGGTCAGCAGTCCACAGTGAATCATGCTGAAGTTAAGGAGCAAGGACTCGTCAAGGTGGGCTTCCCAGCTTGTGGCCAGTGTGCAGCAGGCATTGTCCTTCCAGGGCAGGCACTGAAGGTGGAGGGAGCAGCAACAGGCAGGGGTAAGAGGCTGGGGCTGAGCGTCTTGGGCAGAAGGGTGTCCGGAGAGGGGACACCTTGAGGTCCTCTGTAGAGGAGGGACTCTGGCATCTGTCAATATGGACCTGAAGAGTGGGCTACTCCTGGCCACTGACCTCCCTCCCCTGTCTTCCTGCAGAGCTTCCTGATGCCAGCTCCAGGGAGGATATAAATCCAGGAAAGCAAATAGAAAGAGGTCCACAAAAGATTCAGGAACCTGGATTATCACGATGGGTCGGAGGGACTTGTAGTTGGACTGTCCTCCCTGCCTGCCCCCCCCCCCCCCCCCCCCCCCCGCTCTGTAATGGCCTTAAGGAGACTGACAAGGAAACAAATTAAGGCCTATGTCTCGCCAGTGCATGCTGGCAGGAAGACTTGGACTGACCAACAGAATTAGTTAGCCAACAGAGCCTGTGGGATGAAAACTACCTGTTCCCAAGTGGCCAGAGCAGCTCAGGGGCAAAACCCTGGATGACCCCCAAACTAAATGGTTATGGCTAATGCGTGCAGAGACCATTTGCCTGTATTCCTTCTCTAATAATTCTCTCTCCCTCTCTCTTTGGTTTTTGAGTCAGGGTTTCTCAGTGTAATAGCTCTGGCTGTCCTGGATTCACTTTGTAGACCAGGCTGGCCTCGAACTCCCAGAGTGTTGGGATTACAGGCATGTGCCACTGCACCCAGCCTTCTCTAATAAGTCTAAGAAGCCTCCTCAGCCCCTGGTCCAGCTCCGGTCTCTGTACCTCTAAGTAAAGCTTGTCTTCTGGGCCAGGCTCTCGCTTGTGGTGCTTGGCATTCATGCAGACGTTGACCAGCCTGTCCTCTGCCACTGCGGGCATGACTGTCCACAACCCCAAGAGCATCTGCCACCATAGTGCCATGACCTTCCGCAGAGAGGAGCCTGTGATAAACCAGGAAGGTAAGATGCACCCCACTCCCTCCAACCACCAGGCACTGAAGACGGAGTAGGGGTTCCGAGGCTCCCCTAGATTGTTGAAACACTCTGGCTGCTCCTGGAACCTTTTGTGTAGAGCAGCAACATGGAATGTCAAGGCAGGTAAAATAATACTTGGGTCTGACGCCCCAACGCAAACCATTGCAGAGATGTAGAAATCAAACCGATCAACAGGGGGAAAGGGGAAAAAAGCAAACAGCTCTAAAGAGGAGGCAGGTGGGGAATGGTTCCAAGTGATTCTACACTTAGATGCAGTTTTGCTAACTCAGTGATGTATGATTTGGGAGTTTAGAACCTTGGTCCCAACCCACACCTAGCCTCTTGGCCAAGTAACACTGGTTACTGGAAATTGTGCCAGCTTCTCCTTGTGGCCATCAAGTGCCAACCCTAGTTCCATTCTCTAGGCAGAGCCCATGGCTCCTCAGAGTAGCTCATTCCCATTCTGTCCTTCCAACCAGAGTACTTTCCTTAGCTCACTTCAACCAATCCCAGTCTATCTCAAAATCATCCTTAAGTCTCGGGCTGGGACAGCCAATGCTAAGAACCCTGCTGGCCCCTCAGGGCTGGGAGCACATCCAGGCATGAGGATGCAAGGAAGCTTCCATTTTTAAGCCTGTACCTTAGTGTCTGCCAGCACATTTCCAGTTCTCTCTTGGGATGTACTGGCAATGGGCAGAGGATGTGGAAGATGGACAGAGAGATGCTCCTCTGCTAAAGTGAAGGAGTCTTCATTGCCCAGGACATTGCAGCTTCTCCATCCCCTAGGCCTGGTGAGAGCCTGTCTTACATGTTGGCACTCTAGCCTGAGCTGAGGACCTCAGCCATCTTCAGATTGGAGTCCCAGACTCTCCTGCAGGACCCATTCTAAAGTCTAAACCCATTCTCCCCACAGAGATAGCTCCAACTCTGCACAAAGAGCAAAATGTTCTCAAAAAGCAGGAAGATAGAGGAAAGATACCAGCCCTTTGGGCATTGTCTTCAGACTTACTCTTAAGCTGGGGCCCTCCTGTTGCTCCTTCCGGGTGTGTGTGTGTGTGTGTGTGTGTGTGTGTGTGTGTGTGTGTGTGTGTGTTGGCGGGTGGTGTAAGAGGGAAGCCCACAGAGATGAGCAGGCTGAGGCCGCTCCACCCCCTGCCCTTTTATCACCCTTCAGTTTGTATGGGATGCAGCTGCAGAGCAGCAAGGAGTCGGAGCTGAGCAGCCTCCAAGCATCCAAGAGTTGGTCTTGTAGAGAAACGAGACCTTGCTGCACCAGAGATCCCTGCAGCCGGTGGCAAGTTCAGTTCTCAGCAGTGCCTCTAACCTGTGACGATTTGGGACTACGATTGTCTCAGTTTGCCGCTGGGCAATGAGAGCTGTTGACAGGGACTGCTGGGGAAAGAGGGGTCACGAAAAGATCTTGGCACAGGGACGTCTTAATCAGCGTCCATTCTTCGTCTTTGGTTCTCGGAAGCTCTCTTCCTCCCCAGTGTTCCGTTTCAACCCTCCCTTCCTCCGCTCAGCCCCCTGGTGCCCTGAGTAACAGATCCACCCACAGCATCAGGACCTTCCCCCACCCCCGCAGCGCACACAGGTGCAGAAAACAGGTGGAGTCTTGGAGAGCCAAGGATTGAAGCAACAATCAAAGCTGAAACAGAAGCCGCCCCCTCAGCACCCGGCAGAGGCAGCTGATCTGCCTGATCTGACCTCCTCTCTGAAGGTCCTGCTGGAGGTGCTGCCCACAATATCTCTGCTTGTTTTTTTATGTTCCGTCTCCAAAGGAGAAGCAACCGCACTCACTGAAATTTTATGAAAAACGAAACAAAACACGCCTTGTGTTTTCCACTGAGAAAGACAAAACACAGCCCATGATGTTCAGCTGCCTGTCAATATACAAAGCACCTTGATGGAGTGCAGGGAAAATGGCGTTTTCCACACGTGGGTACTGAGGACTGAGCATCCGCAAGGACCAGTCATGGGGCTGGAGGCTAAGGCACTGGCACACAGCCTGACTTACTGCCTGCAAGAATCCCCCAAATGAGGGCTCTCTTTTAGATGTAGGGGAAACTGAGGCTCAGACAGAGATTTGATAGAACTGGGATTTGGACTAGGCTTGCTGACTCCATAGTTAATGGATCAGGTGAGGGGACTGAGGGGTAGGAACTGTCCAGGTCTCAAGTCTTCTTCTTCTTTTTTTTTTTAAGTTAACTACCACAGTGGGGGGGGGCATGTGCTGACCTGGGGGAGTGGGGAGGGGAACGGGCAGTGGTGGTTACCAGCCCGACTTCCACGTACAAAGAAGAGCTGAGAGCCTCTTTCTGAAGTCAGACACCAAACGGAAAGGCATGTCTGCCATCTGAGTCTTTTTGTATCGGTGTCCACAGGGACAGTAGAGACAGGTACTCATGTCTTGTTCTTTATAGACACCCAGAGAGCAGCAAGCCTTGACAAGTAAGAGATACGGAGTCGACCGTTAAGTTTGAAATGGCTGTGGATGTAGCAAGAGCAAGAATCCAGAAATGAGTCACACAAGTCATTACTGAAATGGAAAAATGTCCTCCACAAGACTGGGAGAGGGGGAATGAGGAACTTGTTAGCCACATTCAGGACAAAGCTGTAGGAAATGAGTCAAAATTATAGCCAGCATGGGTGCAGGTGGAGGGAGGGAGAAGCAATTGCAGAGGCTGCCTTTGAGAGAGCCATCAGGCCAGGCATCTGTCCCTAGAGAAGCAGTTTGAAGCCCTTGAGCAGAGCTCATTTTGCCTTATTGTGGCGGAGCCTTCCAGAGAAATCTTTTTTCTGACTGAAGGCTGATAAATCAGGGCTGGCTGTGGATTGGGCCACTTGAAGCAGCTGAAAACAACAACAGAACCATTAAATGGCCAGAAGAAGAGGTGCAGGGTTTTTCTGAAGGATGTAGGGAGGGAGGACAGGTGATGCAGTGACCTGATGTCTTTTTTGGTGTCACAAGTGATGCTGAATGGTGATGGCTGTCCTGTCTGCCCGCCATTTATCAGGTCATTCCAAGCAGTGAGTTTGAAGATAAGACAACAACAACAACAACAACAACAACAAAAGCTCGGAGACTGAAGTCAGAGGCCAGCGGCAAGGCCCGTTGGGAAACTCAGGGTTCTTGCTCTGAGGCATCCACCTCACCCCCTAAATAATTAAAGCTCTTTTACAAGCTTGTAGCTCAGGAGAGGAGCAGGGCGACACTCACTCTCATTTTGTCCATCCTTAGCTGAGGTGCTAAGTCCACCTCATGGGTACCTCGCCTTTTCCCTGCAGCTGGGGTCATGCTCAGATACTCCAGTGTGCCTTCCTGGTTCCCTCCAAGGCAATATCCACACAACAGCTAAGGTGATAACCCCTCCTCCCCCGGGCTTTATTATAAAATCTTCCGAACATAAGGAGTGTCGAGAAAATTTTATAGGGCGTACTCATTTACCACTTGGATTTTACACATTCCATTTTCATTTTTGTGGGGAAGGGTGCTATTTTGAGCCAACCATCCATCTCTTTCTTGAGGGATCTGTCCCGTGAGCTTCTTAAAGCAGGGAATCCGTGTACTTCCAAGTACATCATTAACCAGAGTCCAATATCTGTTGCATTTCTAGAATGCAGAATGATCCTTTTAAAACAGAAAGATGGTTGCTGCAGTCTCATATTTAAAATCTTTTTATACATTAAGATAAATCCTCATGGTTCAAGAGTGCTTTGACCACATATATGCCTGTATGAGGGTGTCAGATCTCCTGGAACAGGAGATATTGTGAGCTGCCCTGTGGATGTCAGGAACTGAACCCAGGTCTTCTGGAAGAGCAGCCAGTGCTCTTAAACACTGAGCCATGTTTCCAGCCCCTCGTGGGTCCTAATCTAGTCCCAAGTTATTTCTCTTTTCTAACCCATGGTCCATGTTCTTTTATAAAAACAGTTAAATTTATTATTGTGTTTGTGTGTGTGTGTGTGATGTGGATGGCTGTGGGAATATGTGCCATCTGATGTGTATCCAGGCCGGAGGACAACTTTATAAAGTCGGTTTTCTCCTTCCACCTTTCCTTAGGTTTCATGGCAAACGGTTTATCCTCTGAGCTATCCCACCAGCCCTGGGTCCTTTCTTTTGCCTATACTCCAGAATATTTGACTATTCTAAATCTCAATTTGGGAGCTCTGCTCCCCAAAAGTGTCTCCTTGGTTAGGCTCACTCTCTCATAGCCCTCTCAATCTCCGTGTCTGGAGACTTGCTCTTGTTCTGGCTCCTGGAAGAAAAAGCTTGCCCTGCTGGCCAGGGAAGCTCCACAGTCTCTGTGGTTTGGGGAGATGCTCCCTTGGTATGATGTCTCCTGCTATAGCCTTGTTCTCACACCTGCCTTCTGGCCCACGGGCACCCATCACAGTCTCCTACCTCTCTACTGTACACTGTTCAAGTACACTCAAGCCTGACCCAGAGTGGATGGTTCACAATGACGTTTCTTTAGAAAACAGCAACATTGATCCAGACAGTTCCCTACTTTAATATGTCCTAGGCTACCTTCCTTCTACTCTCTCTCCCTTCCTTCCTCTCTCCCTTTCTTTCCTATCATCCTAATTCCAGGCATCTTTCTTCCATCTTTTAAAGTATCTCTCCTGTCTTCTCCCATCCTCCCTCCCTTTTTCTTATTTAATTCAAACCACAAGACAACTTATTCACTTAAAAATAAACATTTTTTGATAAAGGATTGAACTGAGAGCCTGGCATGTGTACCACCACTGAGCTGCGCCCAGCCTCTTTCCTCTGTCTTCCCTCTTGCTTTTCACTCCCTTTTCCTTCCCTTCCTCTCTGTTCTCATTCTTCTCTCTCCCTTTCCACTCCAATTCACTGGAGACTGCTCTCATCTCACCACCACCACCCCTTCCTCTCCCCTTTCTCCTCCTCCCATCTCTTGTAATTTTTCTCCCTTGCCTGCC